GCGCATGTATGTAACACACAGAAGGAGGCGTGGCAGACCCCACAAAGTATATATATTCTTGATCAGGGTGACAAGCCGAGTCGATATAGCCATGTCCGTCCGTCCGTCCGTCCGTCTGTATGAGCGCAAGGATCTCAGAAGGTACTAGAGCTAGAATAACCAAACTTGGTATCCAGGTTCCCATAAGCCCTAGGCAGGTCAAATTTATTTTTTTATACTGATACACCCCCCCACTCCCCCGCAATTCGTGTTTTTTTTCATAACTCCCGTAGTTCTTGGAATTTCGAACTAAAATTTGGTAACATCCCGTTAGTGATTATGTGTCTGTATGCAAAGTTTCATCATGATAGGTCAATTTTGAAGAAAGTTATAGCCATAAGTAAAATCGCTGCCCACGCTCTGCTTGTTGTTGTTGTTGCTGATTGGGTTAAACTTTGTGCTGCATACATACACGCATTCAAACACGCAGAGATGTCTGCGTGTACATCTCTGATGTAAATGTATGCTGTTGAAACTGTACATGAACATGTCTTTAATTTAATTAAATAATTAAATTAATATTATTTTTTATACTCTGTACATAAAATGTACAAGAGTATATTAGGTTTGCGGGAGCTGAAAATGTAACAGGCAGAAGGAGGCGTGGCAGACCCCACAAAGTATATATATTCTTGATCAGCATGACGAGACGAGTCGACCTAGCCCTGTCTGTCCGTCCGTCTGTCCGTATAAACACCTGGATCTCAGAGACTATAAGAGGTAGAGACACCAAACTTAGCACAAAGATGCGTTATATGTGTACGCTGTGCAAGTTTGTTTTATTGTTTTGATTTCCCCCCCCCCCCACTTCACCCCTATGGGGGTTTTCCTGATTTTCCATTCGTATAATCGCCTATATCTCGGAGACTATAGGACCTACGGACACCAAATTTAGGTAGGTTTTACACCGTTTCGCTGTTGAGCGAATTAATAAAATGCGAGGTGTAGCACAAATGAGTAGACTTTTAAGTAAAGTTTGGCGTGCCGATGACCGACGCGGTTTTATTTCCAAAATCTGACTAACTCAAAGTACAGAAAGGTTCTTAAAATGAAAGGTAGCCCTGTGGCCAATATTTGCAGCAAGTGCAAGTGGACGGTGAATGCCCTATTGTTACTTACGCACGACTATGCTTGTGCGCGTGCACGAGTCATATGCTTAAATTGATGACCATGCCCAAAATCATTCTTATTCTGCATGATCGAGTGGTCAGTTACTTATGACCTGCCGGATATGTTAACGGCACATATGTGCAATCAAAGCACAGCCCAATTGGTCTAATTAATAAACAGTTATTTGGTACTTATTTGAAAAAAACATTGCGTCATATACATATATATTTTATTATACTCTGTACATGACATGTACAGAAGTATATTAGGTTTGTGCGAGCTGAAAAATGTAACAGGCACAAGGAGGCGTGGCAGACCCCACAAAGTATATATATTCTTGATCAGCATTACAAGAAGAGTAGATCTACTATGTCTGTCTGTCTGTCCGTATAAACACCTTGCTCTCAGAGACTATAAGAGCTAGAGACACCAAATTTTCAACAAAGAAGCCTTATGTGTGTACGCTATATGAGTTTGTTTTATATTTTTGATTTTCCTCCCACTTCCTCCCTATGAGGATTTTTCCGATTGTTCATTCGTATTATCAGCTATGTGAATATGATGAAACTGTGTATTTAGAAATTTCCTTCCCTCCTCCTTCTCCCACCGCAATCACTGATTTTCCATAACTCCCGTATTTCTTGCAACTTCTCATTGAAATTCAGAAAATACCTCCAGCTAGTGAATTTGAGTCCGCATGCCGATCTTAATATTGATGGGCCGATTTAACAGGAAGTTATAGCCATATATGTATATATGACCAAGCAGTGCCCGCAGCTGTTGTTAATGTTACTGCTTTCCACAGGCACACAAACAGACATATACACGCATAGTTATTTAACACATATGTACAGGGTATTTCAAAGTCGGGACACCCGAATTTAGCTTCTCTACTTGTTTTCTATTTGAGCCAATTGGGCATCTATTGCTTGGTTGTTTTGGATGCTGTGTGTGAAAGCTGGTGTTTTAAGTATACATGTATACTTAATATTGTTTTAAATAAATTATTTTTTATTTTACAAAAAAATACAATTTTGATTAAATAATGCACGATGCAATTAAAAAATAATGTATGCATATGATCAATGAAAAAACTTCACCAAATCCAACTCAGTTCCATTCTAAGGCGAAATAGGGCAACTGAAATTTGGACTCAAGTATCCTAAGAAAGACTTTGCATTTTTTAAAGATCCGCGGCGTTGCAACTTGTGGTAATTCAAACGGTCTTTACTACCTATTTATTCCAATACCAATAAAATCTACAGTCCACTCGAACTGTTCTTTAGAATAGTATAAAATATATTGTAAATAAACTACAAATGATCTATTTATGTCCTATAGCCAAAACATTAATAGACGTTTATTCAGAAATATAGTATCAGGTACCACTATACCACCTTGAAATATATACACACAAGTATGCCATCATATAAATTTCACACATATGTACATACATACATACGCCTGTCTAGCACGAACGAGCGCTCGGCCGCTGCCTGCCTGCTCAAACTGCTTACCACCTCTGCCGGCCTGCACGATACAGCTCAAGGCAGCGCTGCATGTGTGTGCAGCAGCGAGCAGTGTGCCCGTTTTACGAACAATGCTTTCCATTTAAAAGTAGAATAAATAATTCAGAGGTGTCACAGAAAACTCCGGTGGCTGCAGTTGTTTTTGTAAACTCCCAACAAATTTTTTCTAATTTACCCTCCAAGCCTGCTGTCAGCAACAGCTCAGTGTCGACGAGTACATTTGACCGACTAATTGTGTTTAAATTCTGTACGGTCCAATTTTAAATAGAAAACAAATATGCCATTTGCATTAATATTAGGCCGCAAGCATTTGCGGAAATGCCAATTAATTGTTGGAAAAATTCAATACAAATGTTTGAGAAGCACATCTGATCCCACAAAAGAAAGTTGCTGATTAAAAATTAAATTTATTATACATTTTTTATAACATTTCGATTTTTTCGCAATTACGGAATGTACTTCCATGAATTTGACGAAAATTGCGTCCTGTTCTGGCGATCTATGTTTTGCACAAATTAGCATTTGAAATTAAAATCAGAAGGTACGAAAATATATATTTTATTTTAAACTTACGTTGGACTCACAACTTTAGACTTAATTCAACAAATTGTGTTGTTTGAAAAATGTAATGTTCTATTTGGGCCAATGGGGCATCGGCAGCGAGAATTGGCTTTGAGGCGAAATTTGGGCGGCAGAAATTTCTGTGGCACCTCTGATACTTTCTTGGGTACAGTAAACCCCCCAACTAAACATGAAAAATGTTCGGTGTTTGAACAAACGTCGATGGAACAATGATGCATTGCAAGCAGAAAAACATCGGAAAATATCGATGCATCGTGCCGATGCTCGATACATCGATGATTTCTAACATCCCTATCCTGAAGAACGAAAAATTGAAATATTGCAATTAATATGTGTACAGTGAACTCTCGTGGCCGGACACTAACGGTCGGCCAATTTTTGTCCGCCCAAGGGGAGTGTCCGCTTAAGGGGATCCTTAAATAAAGTATTTAAGAATTTTATTTACACCGATCGAATGTTTTTAGAAAAAGTGTCCGCCGAAGAGTGTCCGGATAAAAGTGGTGTCTATTAAGCGATTTTTCACTGTAAATGTTTACAATTTATTTTTAAGTTTGAGATAAATGTCGATATGTTTCCTGAAAAATGTTTACCAACATCGATGTTTTTGGGGGAAAAACATCGATTTATCGATACATCGAAATTCCACTAACAATTCAAAAACAGGTAAGGAATGCTAAAGTCGAGCGAGCTCAAATACCCTGTACCTCTCACCAAAAAGAAAGAAATGAAAAAAATTAATTTTAAATTATATAAATATATACAAAAGAATAAAAAAATGAACTTGACCTGCCTAGGACTTATGGGAACCTGCATACAAAGTTTTGGTTATTTTAGCTCTTGTACCTTCTGAGATTCTTGCGCTCATACAGACGGACGGACATGGCTATATCGACTTGTCTTGTCATCCTGATCAATAATATATATTCCTTGTGGGGTCTGCCACGCCTCCTTCTGTGTGTTACATACATGCGCACAAAACTAGTATAGCCTTTTACCCTTTGGGTACAGGCTTTAAAAAGTATACAATAAAAAATTAATTTAATGACTAATTTCAGATTCATTTGATCCTTATAAATAGGGCACGTCATTTTGTATTGCCATCTTATTCAACTCTTCTTCCTGCCTGACGGCGCTAGAGAGCTTGAGGTCGTTGGTAGTTCTTCAGTTGTCAACGTAGGATGAATTCGTTTCAAAGGTGCAGATAAATTGGTGGTATTGCCAATGTTTGATACACTTTACCACATTTAAGGCATTTAGAAGACTTGCCTTCCTTCGACTTATTGAAGAAATTCCAGACAATTGACTTTCCATATTTTGCCCCTTTATTAGAGCCACCTTCCTTAAGTTCTTTATCCATTTCAATTGAGTTTGCTTACAATCGACACGAACAACATATTATTTTACATATGATGAAAATACACATTCACAAATAAGACTGCAACTGCAAGATAATAATTACATTTGCTATTAAATTCTTTTAAAAATTCTCCATTTTCAAGCACTGCCAACACCAATATCCATCTATAATTTGTAATATTTTTTCCTGTATTAAATTATGGATTTTATTCAAAAATGTAAATTATAGCTTTTTACTTGCCTAGCTTTTCGCGCGATTTTTTTTTTCAAGTAGTATAAAACATCGGACATCGAAAATAAAACATCGAATTTGGAAAAAATTACAAAACATCAGTGTATCGATTTTACAGCGATGTTTCGCCCAGCACTACTATACAAATCATTCTGCAGTATAACATGTCGTCCGACTTTAAACTAAGTCTTAGAAAATTAGGACATCCAATGTGTGCGTTGGAAGCTTTAACCCGACTGGAGAGCATTATTGTAAGTCGAAATAAGCAGAATGCAGGGATGCAAATGCAAATTATATCCGAATTCATTTTTCTGGAGCGTGGAAAAGATGTGGATGGTCACAAGGGACACTCGCAGTCGATTAATCAAATGAACTCATTTCAAGAGTTTCAATTGTTACTAGCTCTTATTGATTACTTTTCCCGTCCAGGTCGTGATGCCACACGCAATGCAATTTTTCTGTCTTTGTTTGGCAGCCACCTAACGCCTCAGCGGTCAAAATTGCTGTCTAGATTAATAAGTACAGCTATATCGGGATCTATTGCGCCACTTCTGTCCTCGGCGGGTACATGGATGCAGCAAGTAGGCTGTAAGACTTCACCAAGCTTGGAAGTCGCACAAAACATTGTCAGCGATTTCATATTATTTTCAAGGAAAACATCCGATCAACTGAAGCAGCTGCCTATGGTGGGTCCGCATTTTGCTGCCAACTTCATGGTTGCTGTAACTGATCTTTATTTGAACGATCAGCGAACTGGGGTGCTGACTGCACCTCCGGATGCACTACTAGACGCGATAACAGAATGGACAACTGAGAATCCGGCATTGTGTCAGGCATCGCAGCAGACACTGCTTCTCCCTGCAGGTGCCATTGCGATGCCGTTTACTACACCATTGTCAGGTCTTCTGCGGTGGACAATACTGGCCCCACTTATATCCAATCGAGCCACATACAGCCATCTTCATTTATCATTACTACAAACACTTCTGCAGGTGGGGTGCAATGGCGAGCAGACAACAGTTTTGGAAACACAAGACCTTATGCAGATTGTTACATTGTTACAGAATCATTGTATTCGTTTGAGCGAAGCGAAGATTATGCCTCAAGATGATGCGTCCTACAAAAAATGCATGGAGCGTTTCGCTCAAGCTCTTCAAATTGCAATTACTTCAAACTGCATATTTGGAAATCATTTGCAGCTTCTGCGCGCACTTGAAGGTCTTCCTCCGCATTTACTAATGAATATAGTAATACTATCAAATAAAAAGATATACTAGCTATGATTTTGCTGATATTTATTGAATTGTAGTTTTTATACTCTGTACATGAAATGTACAGAAGTATATTAGGTTTGCGGGAGCTGAAAAATATAACAGGCAGAAGGAGGCGTGGCAGACCCCACAAAGTATTTATATTCTTCTTCAGGGTGACAAGCCGAGTCGATATAGCCATGTCCGTCCGTATGAACACCGTGATCTCAGAGACTATAAAATCTAGTGACCAAATTTTGCACAAATATGCCTTATGTGTGTACGCTATACGAATCTGTTTTATTTTTTTGATATTCCCCCCTTTGGGGGTTAGGAGAAGTTATATATATATTATATATATAATATTTGGCCAAGCAGTAACCGCAGCTGTTGTTGTTATTGCTTTGCATAGGCACACACAACACATACACGCATGGATAAGCATAATTATACTACACATACATATGTACAGAGTATTTCAAAGTCGGGATACCCGACGTTAGCTTCTCTACTTGTTTATAGCCTGTAACAGGTAAAATGCTATATTAGTTTTGTGCGTCATCAGTTTAGCGCTAAATGCAATTTTAGTTATCTCGCTAGATTTGGCACGTACGGACACCAAATTTTTGTTGTTGCTTAATTGATTTGTTCATTTTAATTGACGCTCATTATGGGAAAAAGAACATTCTTATCCGTTGAGGGAAAATCAAAAATTGAAGCTTACTCTGAGTCTGGGCTATCAGTACATAAAATATCAGAAAAAATAGGCAGACATAGAAAAACGATTGCCAGTTTCCTTAGAAATAAGAAGGGGTGGAAGTAGCAGATGAGTGGAATAGTTTCCTAAAAGAGTTACCGCATGTTAAGGAGATTGCAATACCAAGATGGTGAAATGCAAAAGAAGAAGAACCCAGGAAATTCATGGGCTTGCAGACGCCTCCGAATCAGCATATGCTGCTGTAGTATATGTGAAAACGACCAAAGGTGTAAAAATCCTAGTAAGCAAAACAAAGGTAAGCCCGATAAAAAACAGGAAAACCTTACCAAAGCTAGAACTTTGTGCCGCGCATCTGCTAGCAAACCTTTTGCGAAAAACAATAAAAGTGTCAGAAAAGGTTTATGCATGAAGTGACTCGACAATAACACTGTGCTGGATAAGGAATTCGAAAAACAAGGACAAATTTGTTCGAACAAGAGTCGAGGAAATCCAGAAGTGGTTGCTAGATGTTACCTGGAGACATATAGGGTCGAAAGATAATCCAGCGGACATAGCATCGAGAGGAATTCAACCTTCGAAATTAAAGCATAGCGAACTATGGTGGAAGGGCCCGAGTTGGTTAAAAAATAATGAGGAATTATGGCCCAACATAGAACAAATGAAGGAAATAACCACGCTACACATATCGATCAAAGAACACTGGTTAAACAAATTGATAAACAAATGCAGTAAATATGGGAAATTGGTACGAGTAGTAGTGTACGTAATGAAATTTGCGGATATGTGCAGGAAAAGAGCACAGATAGGGAAACTCAGAATATCCGAAATTAGAGCAGCAGAAACGATAATATATAGATATCAGCAGTAAGTAGAATTCCCAGAGGAAATAGCAGCATTAACAGTTGGACAATATATATGAACAAATAGTAAGATAATATAACTATGTCCATTCATAGACAAGAAAGGGTTAATGAGAGTAGGTGGAAGATTGAAATTTGCGGAAATAAATTACGACCAAAAACATCCAATAATTTTAAACAAATCTCATCTCTCAAAAATGTTAATCGAAAAAACACATAATGAGACATTGCATGGAGGTAATAGTCTGATAGAAACAAGAATTCGAAGAAAATTATGGATAGTACAACTGAAGAATCAAATAAAGAAAAGCATTAGGCAATGTGTTAAATGCACAAGGTACCGGCAGCAAAACAAATAATGGGGCAAATTCCAAAGTATAGGGTTAGAATGTCACAGCCCTTTACACATACAGGAATAGACTATGCCGGGCCAGTTCAAATGAGAGTCTCTAAAGGCAGAGGAAACAAGTCATACAAACGTTACATTGCAGTATTTGTTTGTATGAGCACCAAAGCGAAACTTCTAGAAGTAGTTAGTGATTTGAGATCAGAAGCCTTTATTTGTGTGACCCTATTCCCTTTTTTCTAAAATTCCTATGCAAGCGTGAGCGGTGATGCCGGCCCATTTATTCTCCCTCTATTCAAAAGATCACTGCTTCGTAATTCTAATTGACAAATAAAGGAACTTTTGTATGCGATATTCAAAGTGAAATACGGTAACAAAAATGTGCAATATTCCACTGTGCAATAGGAAATTTTAAATCTAGTAATCTAATCATTAGTAATCTAATAACAAAATGTGCAATATTGGGCTATATAAAAATAGGCAATCTTAAATCTAGTAATCCAATAATAGTCATAATAGTTTGTGGCGCAGAATTTAACTGCGTCACAGAATGTAGCTGCGCTTCTTGACATACCGTCGTCGTGACGATGTCTGGTTGCTGGCTGTCACTGGCTGAAGAAACACTCTTGCGTTGTTCCATATGCATTTTCGGATGATGTTTCTGTATGCAGCCGTTAACGCCGCACACTTTTCGGCTGTTGCATTTTTTGCGGTGCCCGTTTAAGCATCGTAGTCATAGCCCCTTCCTATGTACGATGCCTAGTCTTTGTGGTAGGGGCATGTCGGCGAATTTGTTACACTCGTGTATTTTGTGTCCGGTTAACTCGCAACCCGCACATTTAGCGTTCGAAGGCTGAGTCCGGTTGTCTACGTGATGGTAAACATTTCATATCTTGGTGTGAAATAGCGAAGACGTCACTTGACTGGCTGCTTCGGCAATAGCATAGATCCACTTTAGAATGCATTGCCCAGGATAGTTTCAGTTGAGTAGGTAGCTTCTCCAATAACTCTTCACCAAAGATGGATTATTCATTTGAGAGGTAAGTTCGCACGCTTCCATTGTTGAATAAATGTTACGGACGGAAAGTGCATATTCGATAAGTGGTTCCAACTTATCTTTTGGTGGCGGCAGTTGTCGCGCCTTTTCTACCATTGCATGTAGTATGTGTTCTGGCCTGCCGAAGCACATACGGAGCGTGCGTATAATTTCGGGGACCATTGCCGGAAAAAGTAGCTTGTATTGAACCATTTCGCGCGCTTTTCCTTTAAGACGCGCTTGTAGTCGCTCAAGGATTTCCGCATTTGTGTACTCTGCGATCTCCGTACTAGTTTGAAAACTGCTATAAAACAGCGGCCAGTGTTGGGGGTTGCCATCAAATGTTGGCAATTCGCGTGGAATTACTTGCCTTGCAGCTATTTGAGCGGCAGTCGGTATATTTTTTAGGCTTTCAGCTGACTCGTATAGTGCAGCCCTGTTGGCAGATATTTGTGTTGTAGCGTTGCCACCTGTATACGAAAGCGTTTATTGCAGCACATTCGAAAGCACAAAAGATGTTGGGAACATTTTGCTATAGCTGTGTAACATGGGTTGATCACTTTGTGTTGTCGTTGCTGTTAATTTGGTCAGCGCCTTTCCTATGCTATTTGTTACCGTCGGTGAGGAAGACGACTGTGGTAGATTGTTGACGCCGAGATATCCGCAGTGGCCCCGAGTGTCAAGAATGCACATTCGCATTCTCAGCTTTTGTCAAGGTCCACGTAGCTCGTTCCAATACAGGTGATACCAGGTGCAACATTTATTGCACGTGTGCATTTATTGCAGCTATACGCTCCTAATGATATGGCGTTCATTGGAATTTCAACGATATTTAACTTTCCTACACTACGTTCTATGTATTCACTGTCTGCCTATTTGCTTAGTGATGAAGCTGAGAATACTATGTATTTTTACGAATGTTGAGTTTGGGGCCAGGCGGCAGCGGCTTTTTAGAGCAGGTGAAACAAGCAATCAACTTTCCATTAACTGCATTTTTCCCATTCCTCATATAAAATATGGTAGTGAGGAATGTCTTATTCTAAAAACTGCAAAGAGACATTTTCGTGTCAGTCGTATTCATTGATGTCGGTGTCGGCTTCGTCAATCTGTTCTATTTATTCGTTTAGGCTTTCTTCAAAGTTGTTATTGACTTGGTAGTCTGTCTTTACGTGTTCGTATTCTGTCATAGTAGCATATGTGTCAGTGGATTGTGTTCCGGCCTCATCGTTAGAAGCCACTATATTGAAGTTCCGCTATCGTTTGTGACCTTCTCGCATTGGACCTGGTGGTCTTTTTCCAGCCTCGAATTGAGGTCGGCTTATGTAATTCACCATTTTTGTCTGTACACTGGAATCCACGTCCATAGGTTCTGGGCGCGGCAGTAGTTTCGAGGCCGTAGGCCTAAGTTTTTTTTTTCTGTTTAATCAAAGCATTGAAGCCGTGCATTCAGATTAGCACCTTAACAATACATGTTTACAAATATAAAATAGCCTAATCTCGAGCTCTTCTGCGCGAGGATTAATAAGTTAGTGGTAGCTTATGCTTATCTAAATGTTTTGAATAAACCTAATCGTTTTAGTCTTCGCAAAGGTATGGCAGGAAGGAGTCCTCTTGCAAGAAAACTGCGGTGCCTTAGAAGCCTGTCACTGTATCTACTTGTATGCCTTCCAATCTGCTCCTCCACGGTGAACAGGTTTAGGTCTCGGTGAAGGGTCGGTAATTTGCCGCAATTTTTGCAGGACCTGGATGCGCTTATAATTAGATTTTACTGCGATCCCTCAAAATTGAATACCGTAGAGCCTATGCAGTGGGCATAGACAGCTCTTTTTGCTCTAAGTGGCATTCTTCTATTTAGTAGCCATCGCAATTGTTGCATTCTTTGGTCACATTTGTATAGCCTGTACCCAAAGGGTGAATGGCTATACTAGTTTTGTGCGAATGTATGTAACACACAGAAGGAGGCGTGGCAGAACCCACAAAGTATATACATATACAAGGTGTTTTCCAAAGTAAACAGGACTTAAAAAAAAAAAAAAAAAAACAGAACAAAATCAATTTATTTTATTCAAAATAGTCTCCTTCTGCTTCAATACAGCTTGTTGCACGATCCAAAAGCATTTCGAACGAGTGTTTTAGCTCGTTGGCCGGTGTGGCCGCCAGTATGCCGGTGCAAGCCTTTTGAATGGCCTTTACGTCTGCATAACACTTTCCTTTCATGGGCAAAGGCATTTTTCCAAAAAGGTAGAAGTCGCACGGTGCCATATCAGGTGAATACGGCGAGTGGTTAATGGTTAAAATGTGATTTTTGGTCAAATAATCGGTCACAAGCGTCGATTGATTCTGAGCAATTTTTGGTCGTCAGTCAATTTGTGCGGAACAAACCGTGCACACACCTTTCGTAAGCCCAAATGTTCGGTCAAAATGCGATAAATCGATGTTTTGGAGATGTTCAATTCCATTTCCATCAAATTCAATGATGATTTCGGCTGATTTTTGATGAATTCACGTACAGTTTCGATTGAATTTTTGGTGATCACGAATTTTGACTATCCCACATGTTGATCGTCATTTATGTCCTCAAGACCACTTTGAAAACGATGAAACCACTCTGAACCACTCTGCTACGGGATAGGCAATCATCGCCATAAACTTGTTCCATCAATTGAAACGTTTCCAATTTTAAAACAAAATTTAATGTTGGCCCTTTGTTCGAAGCTCATTTTCGCACCGATAACACAAACATACTGACACTTAAAACGCAATAACTTCACTTCCAATCGATGAAATGTCATGAAATTCTCACTGGACAATCGATAAAGATAACAGATTCTAACGCACCATTCGACATCCAGATAGCGCCACAAGGGGGCGCTAGATTCAAAAAGTCCTGTTTCGAACGCACCATGTATTTAGCGATAAAGAATATGTAACTTGGTCGGCCCGGGTGGATATTAATATTATTATTCGTCTTTGCTGTTCGTCCGTGAAACGAGCTTTGACATTCATTAGGCTTCACTTATGTACTAATTACAATGATAGCGATAAGAGCAAAATAAAACAAGTAAAAAACCCAAAGTCGGGTGTCCCGACTTTGAAATACTCTGTACATAAGTTTACAATAATTATAGAAAATAAAAAAATTAAGAAAATTAAAAAAAAAATTTTGATCGATTTTACCTCTCTCGGTATTCGAACTCACGTAAAGGGCGTATAATTGCACATTTACATAGCAATTGCATCTGTGTGAGTGTATGTATGCCTATGCGCATCTATTCGTGTCTGTGTTACCATGTGTGCAGTCAACCAAAGCACCAGCACCAACAACAGCCGCGGGCAGCGCTGCAGCAGCAAATATATTTATGGCTATAACTTCTTGTTAAATCGGTCTATCATAGTGAAACTTGGCATACGGACACATAATAACCAACTGGGGGTATTTCCAAAATTTTAGTTCGAAATTCCAAGAATTAAGGGAGTTTCGATTTGCGTGGGAGAGGGAGGGAAATTCCAAAAAGCATTTTCTGCGTATTCACATAAGCCATCTTATAGTTTCCGAGATATAGGCGATTATACGAATGGAAAATCGGGAAAATAAAAAAAAAAATAAAATAAACTCGTATAGCGTACACACATAAGGCATCTTTGTGCAAAATTTGGTGTCTGTATCTTTTATAGTCTCTGAGATCCAGGTGTTCATACGGACGGACAGGGCTCGTTCATAATGAAACTTGGTATACGGATATATAATCACTAACCTAATGTGATTACCAAATTTTAGTTCAAAATTCCAAGAATTACGGGAGTTATAGAAAATCGTTAATAGGGGGGGAGTGGGGGGGTGGATCAGAAAAAATGAACAAACTCGTCCTTTCTCGGGCTCAGGAGAATCTGTATACCAAGATTGGTTATTCTAGCTCTTATACTTTCGGAGATCCTTGCGTTCATACAGACAGACAGACGGACATGGCTATATCGACTCGGCTTGTCATGCTGATCAAGAATATATATACTTTGTGGGGTCTACCAAGCCTCCTTCTGTGTGTTCCATGTGCACTCGCACAAAATTAATATACCCTTGTACCCTTTGGGTACAGGGTATAAAAATTTGATCGATTTTACCTCTCTCGGTATTCGAACTCACGTAAAGGGTGTATAATTGCACATTTACATAGCAATTGCGTCTGTGTGAGTGTATGTATGCCTGTGCGCATCTATTCGTGCCTGTGTAAACATATGTGCAGTCAACCAAAGCACCAGCATCAACAACAGCCGCGGGCAGCGCTTGAGCAGCGCTGCAGCAGAAAATATATTTATGGCTATAACTTCTTGTTAAATCGGTCTATCATAGTGAAACTTGGCATACGGACACATAATAACTGGGAGTATTTCCAAAATTTTTGTTCGAAATTCCAAGAATTACGGGAGTTAGAGAAAATCACATTTGCGTGGGAGAGGGGGGAGGGAGGGAAATTCCAAAATATACATTTTCTGCGTATTCACATAAGGCATCTTGGACTAAAATTTGGTGTTCCTAGGTCTTATAGTCTCCGAGATATAGGCGATTATACGAATGGAAAATCGGGAAAACCCCCATAGGGGGGAAGTGGGAGGAAAATCAAAAAAATAAAACAAACTCGTATAGAATACACACATAAGGCATCTTTGTGGAAAATTTGGTGTCTCTATCTCTTATAGTCTCTGAGATCCAGGTGTTCATACGGACGGACAGACGGACAATCAGACAGGGCTAGATCGACTCGTCTCGTCATGCTGATCAAGAATATATATACTTTGTGGGGTCTGCCACGCCTCCTTCTGCCTGTTACATTTTTCAGCTCCCGCAAACCTAATATACTTCTGTACATTTCATGTACAGAGTATAAAAAGCATTTAGCATAAGTGTACTAATCAAGAGTAATATTTTACTAAAATGAGTGTTTTTCCTTATGCAAAATTTCAGAATAAAAGTTTAAAACTCTGGGTAGCGGCAATAAGAATTTCGTTCAATCAATTCATTGGTAATCCATTCCTCATGCAACGGCAAACGGCTCAAGGTTTCAATTTCACGTAGTACTCGTACAACATTGCCACCAACTAGCTTTTTGATGGACGCATTGCCCCATACTCGATCCCGCGCAAGTTCAGCCAATAAGAAAGCGTAGCTTTTTGGCGCTCCTCCAAGACCAACATGATCCACACCAGCAATCTTCCGCACATAGTTAATAGCGTTAATAGCTTCCCTCACACTAAGCACTCGATCTCCGCAGCGCTCTAGGTTGAGAAGAACTACACCACCATTTTCAGGTAGTAAACTGAAATACTCAAATATAATACAAATAAATCCAGTTTTTGTAATGTAATTAAATTTACCTTAACACGTGGTCCGGTATAGAAGCAACATTTGTTGCGTTGCAAATGGAAACCGGTGCAGAGTTCATAAAAAGGACTGGAGCTTTAGTGGTACGCAAAGCAATAATCATAGCTGATTCGCTGAGTTGGGAGATCTCCACTAACATGCCCAATCGGTTCATTTCGTACAAAACCGCCTTAAAAAATGTACATTTTTAATAATAATAATAACAAAGCAAAATGATTATGATTTTAACCTTGCCGAAATAATTGAGTGAATTGGTTGCGTTCTCCTCAATAAGGTAGTCATTTGTACGCATGGCGGCGGCGGCCCACGGTGTTGTGCATTCTATGCTAGTGACCGAGACAAATCGTGCTCCTAACAAAAACATTGAACGCAGAACTGCCAAGCTGCTGCCAAGCGCATGACCACCGCCAATTCCCAACAAAACAGCGACATCTCCTCTAATATGGGTCTGCTCCATTTCATCAGCCGACTCTACAATATGCATCGATTCTAGTGAGGCTGTAATGCGTTTCGCCTCATCAATTCCCTCCAATGCCAGCTGAACTGCGTCTAAATACTGAGCTCCACACGCAACTGATATAGGCCACAGCACAGCTCCAATATTGTTTTTGCGAATTTCCGCCATACTGCTCGTATAATTCATGCTAGATGAAGGCTTCCAAGCTCCCTCAATCAGAGGAGATTCGGTCAAAAGCCGCCTAATAAAGGATAGACGTGCTTCCAGTAAGGAAGATGACCGGAGCTGCAGAGCCAATGGTATCCCTCCAGCCATTGCAATACAGGCTAACGCTAATGCAATACCTAAAAGTATTTTGCGTCCCCGAGAATGGTGACGTTGACCGTCGGTAGATGACTCACTAAATGAATCCTTTTTGCAGCTAAATGTTGGAATGCTGCCATTGCTTATCTTTTCACCGCCACTAAATTTTGTTATTTCCGCGGGTAGCTCAATGTCTGAAATTTCAGTAAAAACAAAACATTGTTGCTTACAATGAGGCTGATGCTGGTGCATCGTATGTACATCCATAAAATCACGATTTGATACTGAGTTCATTTTGCTCTACTGCGTTAAATATAATATATGAAATCATAAGAATGAAGATAAAAAGTTTTTAAAACGGATGTATCGATTTTACATAAATACTAAAGGGCCATGGACCATGGGTCACATACGAGTATTTAATAAGAAAAGAGTGGCGCAATTACCATGGGCAGTTACGGTACAAGTAATAATATATTTTCATTTTAATGCACATACATACATATGTCTATGCATAATAACGCGAAATCTAACGATCATTATCATGGTAGTTGTGAATATATGTATACATATATTATATTATTACATGAACGACATTTGCTTATATTATTGAATATATTCTTATGTATGTTTAGAAATCTACATAAACAGATATTCGTATTCGACAAGGATCATTAAAAGATGAAAAGACTTTTGCGTTTTGTAACACTTGAACCAATTAAAAGATTATTTTTAGTTTTAAGTTCATAACAAGGGTCGTGGTAGTTAAACTATATGGTTTTAATGCAAACCTTGATGATGAAATGTTTATGTAATATCCAATGTATGTATGCAATAAACTAAGCATTTTAATAGCAAATCTCTAAATGTCCATTGAAAAAGCGAAGTGGCTCTTATGTATTACATACAGTCTTGCTAAAAATTCAGAAAGAAAAACACTTAATATTTATACTTATAATTTTTAGATTACAAAAAAATAAAAAAAATCTCCGAATATGTGGAGGTTTAAAATATAAGTTTTTAAATACTTAGTAGAGAGGGTTGTATTGGGAGAAGGTTTGAAACAAAAACCCCTTTTAGTGCCCGCTAATGTCAGAAAATCATTCTTTTAATATATTATAAGCACTAATGTCAGGAAAAACTGGCTTTTAGTATATAATAAGCATGATTATAAAAGTAAAATAATCAATAATTGAAAAAAACTTTAATACAAACAATTTTGAAAACTAAGTAAAGTTGCGGGTGTGACGTCATTCGATACCAAAATGATAAATAAAGCACCTCAGCAACGTCACCTTTTTAAGAATAAACAAAATTTTTTCAGAGCATGCGCAGTTTAAGCAATTTATTATACCCTGTACCCAAAGGGTACAAGGGTATATTAGTTTTGTGCGAGTATACATGTAACACACAGAAGGAGGCGTGGCAGGCCCCACAAAGTATATATATTTTTGATCAGCATGACAAGCCGAGTCGATATAGCCATGTCCGTCTGTCTGTCTGTCTGTATGAACGCAAGGATCTCAGAAAGTATAAGATCTAAATAACTAAACTTTGTATCTAGATTCTCCTGAGCCCGAGAAAGGACGAGTTTGTTCATTTTTCCCGATGCACCCTCCCTCTCCACCCCTATTCAAGATTTTATATAACTCCCATAATTCTTGGAATTTTAAACTAAAATTTGGTAGTCAGTCCACTTAGTGATTATATATCTGTACACTAAGTTTCATTATGATAGGTTGATCAGAAAGAAAGTTATAGCCATATAACCAGGCCCAATGCACACATACATACATATGTACAAGTACACAAACACGCATAGACACGATTCTGATGTAAATGTAAATGTATGTATGCATGTATGGAATATTTTATATTTAATTTAGTTAATTAATTAAATTAAATTATTTTATTTTTTTGTGGGGTGGTAGAGGGTATTTAAGAGTTGAGCCTGCTCGACTTTAGCATTCCTTTCTTGTTTATACTCTGTACATGAAATGTACAGAAGTATATTAGGTTTGCGGGAGCTGAAAAATGTAACAGGCAGAAGGAGGCGTGGCAGACCCCACAAAGTATATATATTCTTGATCAGCATGACGAGACGAGTCGATCTAGCCCTGTCTGTCCGTCTGTCAGTCTGTCCGTCCGTATGAACACCTGGATCTCAGAGACTATAAGAGATAGAGACACCAAATTTTGCACAAAGATGCGTTATGTGTGTATTCTATACGAGTTTGTTTTATTTTTTTGATTTTCCCCCCACTTCCCCCCTATGGGGGTTTTCCCGATTTTCCATTCGTATAATCGCCTATATCTCGGAGACTATAAGACCTAGGAACACCAAATTTTAGTCCAAGATGCCTTATGTGAATACGCAGAAAATGTATATTTTGGAATTTCCCTCCCTCCCCCCTCTCCCACGCAAATGTGATTTTCTCTAACTCCCGTAATTCTTGGAATTTCGAACAAAAATTTTGGAAATACTCCCAGTTATTATGTGTCCGTATGCCAAGTTTCACTATGATAGACCGATTTAACAAGAAGTTATAGCCATAAATATATTTGCTGCTGCAGCGCTGCTCAAGCGCTGCCCGCGCCTGTTGTTGATGCTGGTGCTTTGGTTGACTGCACAGATGTTTATACAGACACGAATAGATGCGCATAGGCATACATACACTCACACAGACGCAATTGCTATGTAAATGTGCAATTATAAACCCTTTGTGAGTTCGAATACCGAGAGAGGTAAAATCGATCAAATTTTTTTTTTATTTTCTATAATTATTGTAAACATATGTACAGAGTATTTCAGTCGGGACACCCGACTTTAGCTTTTTTACTTGTTTTATTTTCAAACCTTACAAAATAGGAGTTTCACTTTTTATACTCTGTACATGAAATGTACAAGAGTATATTAGGTTTGCGGGAGCTGAAAAATGTAACAGGCAGAAGGAGGCGTGGCAGACCCCACAAAGTATATATATTCTTGATCAGCATGACGAGACGAGTCGATCTAGCCCTGTCTGTCTGTCCGTCTGTCCGTCCGTATGAACATCTGGATCTCAGAGACTATAAGAGATAGAGACACCAAATTTTCCACAAAGATGCCTTATGTGTGTATTCTATACGAGTTTGTTTTATTTTTTTGATTTTCCCCCCACTTCCCCCCTATGGGGGTTTTCCCGATTTTCCATTCGTATAATCGCCTATATCTCGGAGACTATAAGACCTAGGAACACCAAATTTTAGTCCAAGATGCCTTATGTGAATACGCAGAAAATGTATATTTTGGAATTTCCCTCCCTCCCCCCTCTACCCCGCAAATGCGATTTTCTCTAACTCCCGTAATTCTTGGAATTTCGAACTAAAATTTTGCAAATACTCCCAGTTAGTAATTATGTGTCCGTATGCCAAGTTGCACTATGATAGACCGATTTACCAAGAAGTTATAGCCATAAATATATTTGCTGCTGCAGCGCTGCTCAAGCGCTGCTCAAGCGCTGCCCGCGGCTATTGTTGATGTTGCTGTTTGGTTGAGTAGTCTGAGATTCAGGTGTTCACACGGACGGACAGGGCTAGATCGACTCGTCTTGTCATGCTGATCAAGAATGTATTTACTTTGTGGGGTCTGCTTGTTACAATTTTCAGTTCGCGCAAACCTAATATACGCCTGTACATTTCATGTAAAAAAAACATATAACAAGAAAATCACAAAACAAGTTTTTTTTTGCTCAATGCTTAATGCATAACGTTAAATCTCACAAAACACTTAATGCATTTTCCGCAAAGATCAAACAAAGGAGTCGTGTTGAAACCACCGCGACCGTGAAGGCGCTAAAGGGCACTAGCCATACCTTAGCTAGCATGCCAAGTTGTGCGTGTGCTTACGTCGACCCGAATGCTTTCGGCAATCTGACGAGGTCGCCTACTGCTCTCTCAACAGGAGCACTGATTAGAAGTACACAAACAAAAACAAGTAAAAAAGCTAAAGTCGGGTGTCCCGACTTTGAAATACTCTGTACATATGTTTACAATAATTATAGAAAATAAAAAAATTAAGAAAATAAAAAAAAAATTTGATCGATTTTACCTCTCTCGGTATTCGAACTCACAAAGGGTTTATAATTGCACATTTACATAGCAATTGCGTCTGTGTGAGTGTATGTATGCCTATGCGCATCTATTCGTGTCTGTATAAACATCTGTGCAGTCAACCAAAGCACCAGCATCAACAACAGGCGCGGGCAGCGCTTGAGCAGCGCTGCAGCAGCAAATATATTTATGGCTATAACTTCTTGTTAAATCGGTCTATCATAGTGAAACTTGGAATACGAATACATAATAACCAATTGGGTATTTCCAAAATTTTGGTTCGAAATTCCAAGAATTACGGGAGTTACGATTTGAGGGGTAGAGGGGGGAGGGAGGGAAATTCCAAAATATACATTTTCTGCGTATTCACATAAGGCATCTTGGACTAAAATTTTGTGTTCCTAGGTCTTATAGTCTCCGAGATATAGGCGATTATACGAATGGAAAATCGGGAAACCCCCCATAGGGTGGAAGTGGGGGGGGGGGAAATCAAAAAATAAAACAAACCCGTATAGAATACACACATAAGGCATCTTTGTGGAAAATTTGGTGTCTCTATCTCTTATAGTCTCTGAGATCCAGGTGTTCATACGGACGGATAGACGGACAGTGGGACAGACAGACAGACAGGGCTAGATCGACTCGTCTCGTCGTGCTGATCAAGAATATATATACTTTGTGGGGTCTGCCACGCCTCCTTCTGCCTGTTATATTTTTTCAGCTCCCGCAAACCTAATATACTTGTGTACATTTCATGTACAGAGTATAAAAACGCCTCTACGATCCTCTGCAATATGGCTCTTCTCGGTTCAGCTGGACCGTTCTTGTTGTCCACATAAAACTCTTCCTGCCAAGTTTCGCCGCAAAACCAATTCTCGGTGCCACAGAAGTCGCTTTAGCGATGTTTCAGATCTTGTTTGCTAGAAGTTTTGATTAAAAACACTAACAAAGACATTTTTTCAAATAAAAACAAGAGGTAGCAGAAGCAAAAGGAAGAAGAAGAGTGGAACTTGATGGTGCAGCTTGTGGACGTAATACCGGAGTGAAATTGTTTCGCTAATAATTTTTCTTAGTAGATTATTATGTATAAATTATATGTGCAAAGTTATGTTAAGTTAAGTTTGGTTAAGGTAGCTTTTGAAATGTGGACGGTATTGACAAAATTCTGTAGCGGGGTGGAAATTCCAAAAAATAAAATAAACTCGTCCTTTATCTGACCTAGGAGAATTTGGATACCGACTTTGGCTCTTCAGCTTTTATAG